CAAGAAAAACCAAATAGTTCCTCTTCAATTTGAAATCTAATCGTTTTCCCATAAGCTTTGAGTGTGTTCTCCGCATATCGACATAGGACTTTTAGAGAATGCGGCATTTCTATCTTTGAGTAATCTGTTGGGATTCCCTCATCAAGGGCCAAGACACTGGAATTACGGGACTTGGAACTTCGTCTGCTATCGGCATTGGGCATTGTTGATTTTAGCCGTTTGGATCAATATTTGGAAGTAGTTGACAAATTATTTTGATCCAATAGTCTCACTCAACTGCTGGCAATAGTTTTGTTCTAATCTCATTCCTCGCATTCTCTTCTTTTAGTATCTCTTACACTTTCCTTAAGTTGAATGAATTTCACAATAGATCTTACCTGCAACTTGATATATGAATAAAGAATTAATCCACGGGGTCATAAAGCTGTGCGGCGTGAAAACCAACATTAATATTAATATTCACAAACTAGGCATGCATGCATCATGGAGAGTTATAAAGACAAAATGGCCACGCGTACGACCACGATCAGAGATATGATTTTCATTAGTGGTTTTAATAAGTCTTGACCATAAGAGGGAAGCTCTGGGAGCTTATTTGGGCACATCCAGTTCCAGTAGTTAGATAGTAGAAAGATACGGAGACGTGGAAAATCACAGGCTCAATTTGGCTTGTTGCCGCCCTGCATCTTACGCCTGCCGTTTGCTCTGTGGAGTTTGTGACTCGGCAGTCAGCGGAGGTGAAGGAGGTGGTAATGGCGGAGGAGTATGACAGCGCGCTGAAAGCAAGTCTATGATCTTATGCAACAATGTAAGAACTTAGTTAGGTAGCATAAGTTGATCTGTCTGTGCTTGTTTATTGTATTTCTGTTCTTTTAACTTCCGGTTGTCGGCTTTGTTAAAAGCTAAAACTCTCCCGGAGCGCCCTAACTCTTTTTATTTTATCTTTTATATTGATTCAACAATTGTCATCAATCAGCTTGGCTATGACTGAATTTTGAAGTCATTTGGCTAATAGAAATCAATTCCTATCACACACTGTCATGGAATCTCCAAAGCCAGATTTAATTATGGTCAAGAAAAATTAGAACGGTTGATACAAAATCCATGGGGGGCACATTTTGGTTCCTATTTCTTCAATACCATATTTTGCAAAATGAATCAAGTTTAACTTCCTCTAATAAAACAATGATTCTCAGAAATCTTTCCTATTAATAGGCTCAATATTCCAAAATTGCAGGAGTAAGAACTAAAAATCAGACACCAGTGTACTTGAGTAATGACTTTATGTACCGAAGCTGCGGTCTCCAGCATCACCCAGTCCAGGGATTATGAACCTGAAATCAGTGTAAGCATGAAACGATAAGTATTAAACTGGTTTGCAGCATTCATAGCATTAGCTATTGAGCAGTGGCCACATCTCATCAATGGGAGGTACTTACCCTTTTTCATTTACAATAGGATCAATGATGCCAGTGTATACATGAAGCCTGTGAAATTACAAAAAGAGAGTTAATGCTGTGCTTCATTCCAAACCGTAATAATTGATTGATAATATCATTACCCTGGAAACTTCTCGCTCAGCTTTTGCAGGGCTGGAGGGGCAGCAACAGCAGATATCTGTGATATGGTAGATTATCTTGGTTAGGTATGGACCAACAAAATGGAATGATATTACTCTTTCTACTCAACCGCCTTCAGCACCCTCTTATCTCACTGGACGTGGGTTTAAAATTGAACTAACTTCATAACATTTCATCAACTGCTTCTACATAAAACTTCAATACACTAGTTTGCCAAAAGATCATTACGCTGGTTTAGCAAAACGTGTTTACACCTATACATAAACTTAGGCACAAAGTTTCAAAGGAGACCTCTGAAATACTTACCACTTTAATTTGCTTGTTGTCAACCCCGTG